TTCCAACGGCCGCGGCGCCATCCCGGACGCGGCAGGACGATACCCCTCAGCCGGCGAGGCGATGGTCGGACCGAAGCTAACGCACACGCGAAACTTCGCAGACGGGGCGCGTCGCACGCCATCGGCGTGGTTCATTTCGAATGGATGACGTACGCGTTAGAAAAGAGTGTTTTGAAATGTATATTTTTTCTTCTTTGAAGGATTGGTGTTATTGAAAACGAAAAGCAATTTAGAACCCGAAGCGACGGCCAGTCTCACCACAACACGAGCGAGTCGTGCGATAACAAACACACTCGCTAAAAAGTCTATGGAGTTTTCTAAGGTTAGGAGCTCCAAGTCTTTATGGAAACCACACTATCGGGGTAAAACCCAAAGGAAAAGGAACGAGAGAGAGAGAGAGAGAGAGAAAGTGCTACCCAACAGTGAATAAAAACATAGAGAGTTTGATGGGAATGCAGTTCCTCCTCATCCGCCCTTCTTGTCTCACGAGACAAAATGCAGATTGTGAAAAACTGCATAAGTCATGCACTAGATTATCAAGAACATTACATTTGTATAATATATATAATTTCAGAGTGCTTTACCAAAGAATATAGGAAAAAGCTTCAAGAGACACGAGAAAATCAAGTTAGAGAATAAAATGATTTTCCCTTTTCTGTAAAGAAGAGTTGCTATCATTAGGGTTCATCCTCTTGCCACTTTTTCTTTCAAATTTCTGGTTATTAATAAACTATTATAGCCCAAGCCCATTTTAATTTAACCTATTTCTTCATAAATATTTTTCTAACCTTACTATTTTTTTCAATAATTATCCCAAGCGCTTCCCAGTCCTTCCATTAATAAGACACACAGCATCTGTATATTCAAGAACTTCCTTAGCAATAATAATAATCACAACCCTTCAGTTGCACTTTTCATTCCACGCAAAAACCTAAGCTGTAACATACCTTTACCGCATTCATATGGAAAGAAGCACAAAGTCAAACTGAAACTAACATATTATGCATCGCAACCAGCGTTAAAATCCTATGAGACACACACGACGCGCTTCACCTTACAACAATCGCTTTCAATAAGTGATTAAAGGTCATCCATGGGATCCACGTCGCCGGTATCACCTCCAGGTGGCTTTCCCGAGGCCTGGTAGATCTTCTGAATAATAGGGTTGGAGACCGACTGCAGACGCTCACGAACCTCTTCGTACTCCTTCGGATCGACATCCGGGTGTTCATCGATGAACTTCATCGCCTCCTTAATGGCGTCTTCGATCGTCTTCTTGTCCTTCGCGTCTAACTTCCCGCCGAGCTTCTCGTTGTCGTTGATCTGGTTGCGCAGGGAGTAGACGATGCTTTCGAGGGAATTCTTCGCCTCCACGCGCTCGCGGACCTTGCGGTCCTCATCCTCGAAGCGCTTCGCCTCCTGCACCATCGCCTCGATTTCCTCGGGCGTCAGGCGACCCTTGTCGTTCGTGATGGTGATCTCCTCCCTCTTGCCGGAAGACTTGTCGATAGCGCTGACTTGAAGGATGCTATTCTCATCGACGTCAAAGATCACCTCAATCTGGGGCACCCCGCGCGGCGCCGGGGGGATCCCTGAGAGCTCGAATTTCCCGAGCAATCGGTTATCCTTGGTGAGCTGGCGCTCGCCCTCGAAGACCTGCACGAGGACGCCGGGCTGGTTATCCGAATAGGTCGAGAAGACCTGGCTCTTCTTCGTCGGGATCTGCGTATTGCGCTCGATCAGCTTTGTCATGACGCCGCCAACGGTTTCAATGCCGAGGGAAAGCGGGATGACGTCGACAAGCACGACCTTCCCGCCGAGTTCGCTCTCGCCGGTAAGGACGGCCGCCTGGATGGCGGCGCCGTACGCGACCGCCTCGTCGGGGTTGATCTTCCGATTCGCCTCCTTCCCGCCGAAGAAGTCCTTGATGAGCTGCTGCACCTTCGGGATGCGCGTGGAGCCGCCGACGAGGACGATCTCGTCGATCTCGTTCTTCTTCAGCTTAGAGTCCTCGAGGACCTTCTGGACGGGGATGAGGGTGTTCTTGAACAAGAGCATGTTCAGCTCCTCGAACTTCGCGCGGGTGACCTTCTCGCTGACGTCAAAGCCCTCAACCAGGCTGTCCACCTCAATATGCGCCTGCGGGTGCGAGGACAGCTCACGCTTGGCGGCCTCACAGGCCTTGCGAAGACGCGCAAGAGCCTTCTGATTGTTGCTGACATCAATGTTGTGCTTCTTCTTAATGAGATCAACGATGTACTTCATGAGGTTGTTGTCGAAGTCCTCCCCACCGAGGTGGGTGTCACCGGCGGTGGCGACCACCTCGAAGAATCCCTCGTCAATCGTGAGCAGCGAAACATCAAACGTGCCACCACCGAGATCGAAGACGAGAATATTCTTTTCGCCAACTTTGTTCAACCCGTACGCGATGGCGGCCGCCGTCGGTTCGTTGATGATGCGCACCACATTCAACCCAGCGATCGTCCCCGCGTCCTTGGTGGATTGCCGCTGGCCATCATTAAAGTAGGCAGGCACCGTTACGACGGCATTCTCGACCTTGGTGCCGATGTACGTCTCCGAGATCTCCTTCATCTTTTGCAGAATCATCGCGCTGATCTCCTCCGGCGTGAACTGCTTCTTGGTCCCTTTCACCGTCACCTGTACGAGGGGGTTCCCGGACTTGTCCGCGACCACCTCGTAGGATAGAAGCTTCTTATCCCTTTGCACCGTCAAGTCATTGTATTTGCGGCCGATCAAACGCTTGATGGCGTAGATGGTGTTGTATGGGTTTTGTGGGAGTTGGTTCTTCGCGCCGTCGCCAACCAAACGCTCATTGTCGTCGAAGGCTACAACCGATGGGGTGATTCGGCTACCCATTTCATTGGGGATGATGTGTACATCGCCCTTCTGCCAGACGCCAACAACGGAATAGGTGGTACCGAGATCAATACCTACGCATGGAGGCTCAACCCGTCCATTTCCCTCCGGGGCTGCGTTTACCGCCGAAAGAAGTGCCGAGACGACGACGATCGCGACGATAATTTTTTTAAGTATCGAAACCATGGGATTGCTTTCCTGGGGCGTACAGAATTCGCTAGGCGGTTTCAGATACTAATGGGTGTGGGGAAAGGAGGAAACAAGAAAATCACCACTAAAATTATGGTGATGATAGTAGAAAGTTTAAATAATATTATTAACTTTATGAATCTTAACTTTCACTAAAAATAAATATTTGCCAATGATATAAGAGTCCCAAATAGGCGAAAGAATATTGAGACAAAAAAAAATAGAAACAGTCAAATCAGTTAGAGAAATAGATCCCAAAAGTAACGGGAAGCACAAGCATACATTCTTATATAACGGACACAGAAAAAAGACAGGTGTATGCGATTATTCCCCATAGGCTATTTTTTACATTGTTGATAGTGATGATAGAATGTCAAAAGAAATGTCACATTGTTTGAATACTTCTGGTATTCCTTCTATTTACACGGAAGAACATGAATTACACTAACACAGAACCGAAATAACATGACGTAATCAATTCCAAATACTTACATTTCACCAGCCTTGCAAAACTTAGACATTTAATGAGATCAAATAGAACTCAGGATCAAACTTTTAATCCAGAAAAACATCTAAAATGAGATAGTAGCAATAATGGAAAAAAAAAACTTCCATAATCAACCCTTTTTAGTTGTAGGCTTTTAGATATCTTAGCGACCTAGCCACGCTGCATTGGATGCAACAACAAAAAAAAGAAACAGGATCGTCATTGGGTTAGTACGATCGCGATTTCCCCCAAGGCAGGCCGACCCCTGGTAACGTCTTCGCATGCGGGGGGGCCTGGTCCGCCGTGTAGTACCGTCCCGTCCGCAGCCCGTAGTGACACGTCGACTCGTAGGTGGGGGCGACACGCACCAGGGTCAGATCCACCGCCCGCGGCGCCTCCCAGGGGCCGGGGGTCCCACCAAAGCGACTTTCCACCCCGGCGGCCGCGAGGTCCGGCAGCGTCGTGGCGTGTCCGGGCACCCGCAGCCGGCGGGCCTCATCCGGGACCTCCTCCAGAGCCCGCCGGATCGCGAGGTCGTCCGGGTCCCACGTCTCGCCGTCCCGAGACCGGGCATGCCGGGCGAGACCCGAAGGCGCTCCGGGCGAAGCGAGGCCAGCCGGTTCGCCTGGCGACGTCCGACCAGAGGACGGGCCCCCCTCTGGGCCGGACAACCCCATCCCAGGGCCGCCCACGCCCTTGGCGGGGGCGTTGAGGACGGTCGTGCCGTAGCGGGACCGGCCGTAGAGCGCCTTGCCCGGGTTCGGGTGGGTGCCAAAGGCGTCGAGCAGGGAAGCGAGCGGTCCCGAGGCCGTCCCGCCCTGGGGGGGGGGGGTCACGCTGCGGAAAAAGACCCCCTGTGGGAGTGGGTTTAGCCAGTACGCGCCGGCGTGATTCACAAAGGTGTCCCGACCACTCCCGTCGTTTTCGTAAGTGCGGTTGAATGCCATATAAGCATATATCTATCTATCTATCTATATATATATATAGATATATATATTGGTTTATTCGTCCTATTACCCATAAATGGTAACTCACAGAAAACCGGGTTCAGCAAGGAAAAGGATGAGATCAAAAATGGGTTATATACAGTTAAGGATCTAATTTGAAAGAGCATTCAGTAATTTTACCCTCTTCTCAACCCCATAAAGAGGGAAACACCCTGCTAGATACCGAAAGAACACCCTTAGGAGATCAATAAATATGCCACTATGTTTAAACGACAGAGCACCTGATAGAAGCCACCTACGACATTGACAATCCATGAACAAATCCGCTATTTTTCCCTTTTCCGATTAATTGTTTGCCATTTAACGTTCTTGATGTAGTACTTCAGATACAACCAGCTTCTTTGAGGCACCCCTAGTAAACTCAGAAAAACATTTTTTTACCAATATATGACAAATTGAACTACATTTACCGATTAATTTTATTTTTAATTAAAAGGAAAACTTTTGGCTTGTATTTTGTAGTTGTCAAAACCACGCTTATAAAGTGAAAACGTCGATGAGCCTTTCCTGTGAGAACGACGCCAGTTACAAAGGGGATGGTTTACGTGAAGTCGTTAAAATAAACTTCACCACCTCTCGACTCTGGAGTGTGTCTCTTTGTGTTTACGTAAATGTCAAGCCTATAGTCTGGAGCCCACCCGAATATTTCAAAATTTTATAAGCCCTCAAGTTAAGATTCAACAAAAATAATTTTTTTTTAAGAACGCACCCTATTGGCTTCCAGGCTTTTTTTCCTTGCACTTCGGAAGCCTCTTTCGCCGCGCAGCTTCGTTTTCCTCTAGCCTTTTGGCTAAGCGCTGCCTCGCTTCTTGATTTCCAAGGAGCCTGAGATTCTTTTTCTGCTGGGCTGCCGCTTCGGCGGCGCGCTGCTGCGCGGCCTTTCTGCAGGCATCCCCACACCCATGAACCTCAGGCAAAATATGTGTCGTGCAGTACCTTTTCTGACAGAAGTCGCAGACTGGCAATACCAGCAGAGCCAACTCGTAACAACCCGAGCGCGCGCAAGGTTCAGTCATAATTTATAAGTGTTTTGTGAACCTATTGTTTGTACGCTTTCTTCTATAGCCTTTTTATATATGACTGTGTGAAGAAAATGTGTATAGGATTTATAATACTTTGCCTGGACACAACCGGTGATATTATTTATGAGTTACTTCCAGAATTAGGTTAGGTGTGTGTGTATAGGATAAACAAAGAATCGAGTATTTTTATTCAAAGGAAGAAGATGATGAAAAAGTCAATAACTTTTTGAATCTCCCTTTAACGAGGCTAACATAGTTTTTCAAAAGGGCGTCATATTTATCTAATCAATGTCTGTCGCATTACTCAGGAGTACAATTTTGCTTACTGTCACGCATCTAAAGCATGCAAAGAGAATCCGAAACGAATTCAAACATTGTAATGCTAATACGAGCATAAACAACAGCAAAGGTTCTTCTTTATTCTCCTTTACCCCCCCCCTCCCCCCTTTCCTCAAAAAGCTTTGCAGGAGATAAGTTCACAAATTCTCTCAGGTGCTTAATAAACACTAAAGGAACTGTGCTCGATATTCATTATCTAATATGCATGTAATCATAGCCGCAGAAAAATAGCAGAATCCCCTAGTATCTTCAATTTTTTTTCAAGGGTATTTTCACCATTAATTATACTTGTGTGTTTGCTAGAAATATTGAGCTTCCCTTCACTTTGCTATTACGCGGATGCACAAAGATCCGTGTATCGGCTTGCCTTGTTGCTCATAAGCAAGGCAATAATGAGCCCATAGAGTCCCAAAGCTTCGGAAAAAATAAGCATCAACACCATCGCGACAAAAATTTTATCCTGCTTTCCATATGAGCGAGCCGCGGTGTCGCCAACAACTCCAATGGCGAACCCTGCACCAAGTGATGACAAGCCTGCAGCCAATCCAGCCCCAAGATGAAGATATCCTGAATACAAAGAGTAACTGTTAAGCTCAGTTTTAATGTTATTGTTGATGATTACTGCAATAATCAGACCGTAAATACCTAAAATACCCGCCATAATTACTGGCACGATCCCACGCATGATTTTTTCGGGGGTTTTAATCCCAAGATAGGTGACGCCGACGCCCGCCTTCGCAGCACCGTAGGAGGAACCCATATTTGCAAAAACAACGGACGAGACGGCGCCGAGGGCGCCGAAGAAGGCCGCACTTTGAGGATACATCACACTAAAGCACTCCTCGCGAGTGAGAGACGTAACAGCTGAAGAGAAATGAGGACACAGAATGGCTATGCCTAAAACACCCAAGATGACGGCACTGAGTCCGCCTGAAATTCGAGGGTTCATGAAGGACGGGAAGATTGATAATTTGTTTTTCCTATTTGCCTAGGTAAAATACTTCCTCAAGAATGAAAAATAAGATAGGAAAGGTAGAGGCCACTGTTAATCCATTCATCACCTTCACAAGCACAACTCACAGAAAGCGCACATTTGGAAAATTCCTACACGCTACACCATACGCACGTCAGTCTTCACACTCGCCTATATCAATTTATTCCAGTGTGCAAACGGACAGTAATGGGTAAAAAAAACATCCATATATTGAGAGAAGCCATCAAAAAGAGGGAAATTTGACGGCCATGTTTTTTTCTGGTTAACTAATAATTATCAAGTTGAGGAAGAAACGATACCATTCCTCTGTGAGTGTGCACACTAAGGAAAGTGTTTGATTAAAAAAAAAAAACACTTAGATATTCATATTTTGATTAATTATGTGTGCAAACACTGTTCGATAGGTCCATGAAAAGTGGAATGCTCAAAAGGGAAAGGTGATGAATAAAACGCATGCTACTGTAAATTCAGAGCCAATTTAAGCGCCACTTTATTGACCTTTCCAGTATCATTACGTGGAATCTTAGGCACACAAATAAACCGTCTGGGGAGCTTATAGGGTGCCAGAACATTTGATACGATCTCCCTCAATTCGGTGTTAATTTGGTCAGACTCGTAGGTATTCGTCCTGGAATCGTACTCAATCCCGCGTGCCTGCGCTGCCCCTTGTTGGAGAGCGACGACCGCCACCACCTCCTCCCCTTTAACCTCATGCTTTACCCCGACCACCGCCACTTCATAGAAGAGGTCGTCATGCAGCAGCATCATAGCCTCGATCTCCAGCGCCGACAGCTTATACCCGTTCGACTTGATGATATCCACGCTGGTGCGCCCCATAATCGTGAAGAGCGGCGGCGTGCCTTTCTCCTCCCCAGCGGGCGGGTACTGCACGCGCACCGTATCCCCGGTTTCGAAGTAGCGCACGCCATTCGCATCCTCGCGGAGCTCCTTCATCGTCGCCGCCGGGTTATTCCAGTATCGATCAAACAACGACGCCGAGGCGATCGCGAGGACACCGACCTCCGTCCGTGGGCCCTCACCCCCCGTTTCGGTCGCGATGCCCTCGCGCGTGTTCGCGTTTGCCTTCTCGTTTGCCTTCTCGTTTCGGCAGGTGCCGTGGGGCTCCCGCTCCGGATCGAGCACGGCGGTTCGGACGGTGGGAAACGGGGAACCCACCGTTCCAGGGACGCGCGCCTGCTCCGGCCGCAGGGGCTGCCCGAGCGCCATCCCCACCTCCGTCAGCCCATACCGCTCCAGGAGAAGATGCCCGGAGAGGACGCGAAACTGCCGTAACGTCGCCGACGGCAACGCGGAGCTGCCGGAGACCATCAGCCGTATCGCCTGCCCACAGGCCTTACGAAATCCCGTCCGTTCGATCGGCGAGAACCCCTCCTGAATCGCGGCGATCATCCGCGTGTAGACGGCGGGGACGGCCATAAAAAGGGTGATATCCCCCCGCTCCAGGCGGTGCGCGATACGCGCGGGGTGGTCGAATTTCGTCAACACACACCTCGCCCCGCTCGCGAGGGCGCAGAGCAAACCATTCACCAGGCCATGGATGTGCGAAAGAGGGAGGACGTGCAGGATGACATCCTCGCGGCGCCACTCCCACGCCTCTTGGAGAATGCGGATCATATTGGAGACGCTCGCGTGGGTGTGCACCGCCCCTTTCGGTCGAGCCGTCGTGCCGGAGGTGTAGAGCATCAGGCAATCCTCCGCTGGCGTCGGGCGCGACGACGGGGTCGTAAACCAGCGCCGGAAAACCGGATTCAACGCCTCCAGGCGGTCGGAATCAAAGCAAAGCGGGTCGTCGGCCTCGCCGTCGTCCGCGTCGGGGCGGGCGTGTTTCGCGCGATGTTGATCGCGCAGCAGCGCTTCC